TAAATTTCGAACTCCCAGTCTGTCCTTTCTGACCCCCCTCCCCTGGCAATATTTCAAAGTATTTTTTGATGTGATTTTAAGAGATTTTTGTTTACTTCCCTTTTCTAATATTTCATTGTTAGTTTAAAGAAATGCAATAGATTTCTGTATGTTAATCTTGTATCCTTCTACCTTGCTGAATTAGATTATCAGGTCTAGTATTTTTTTGTGTGCCGTCTTTAGGAGCCTTTAGGGTTTTTTTAATATATAGTATCATGCCATCTGCATATAGAGCCAGTGTTACTTCTTCCCTTTCAATTTTGATCTTTTTTTTCTTTTTCTTGTCTGCTAGATGTAGCTAAGACTTCCAATACCATGTTGAATAGAAGTGGTGAGAGTGGGCATTCTTGTCTTGTCCCAGATTTTAGCAGGAAGTCTTTCAGCTTTTTACTGTTGAGTATTATGTTGGCCGTGGGTTTGTCATAATTATCCTTTATTATGTTGAGATATTTTCCCTGTATACCCACTTTGGTGAGAGTTTTTGTCATGAATGGATGTTGAATTTTATCAAATGCTTTTTTGGCATCTATTGAGATAATCATGTGTTTTTTCCTTCCTTTTGTTGATGTGGTGTATCACACTGATTGATTTGTACATGTAGAACCATCCTTCTGACCCTGGGATGAAACCAAGTTGATTATAGTGTATGATCTTTTTAATGTACTGTTGAATTCAGTTTGCTAATATTTCATTAAGTTTTTTGCATCTATATTCATTAAAGATATTGGCTTGTAATTTTCATTTTTGGTAGTGTCTTTGTCTGGTTTTCATATCAGGGTGATGGTGGCTTTTTAGAATGACTTTGGGAATGTTCCCTCCCCTTCAGTCTTTTGGAAGAGTTTGAGAAGGATAGGTAGAAGTTTTTCTTGGCATGTTTGGTAGAATTCCCCAGTGAAGCCATTAGACCTGGACTTTTGTTTGCAGGGAGTTTTTTTTTTTTTTCGTTACAGATTGCATTTCACTTCTAGTGATCAGTCTGTTCAAATTATCTGTTTCTTCTTCATTCAGTTTTGGTGGACCATATGTTTCTAGGAACTTGTCCATTTCTTTTAAGTTGTTCAATTGGTTGACATATGGTTTTTTGTATCTCTGTGGTATCAGTTGTTATTTCTCCTCTTTCATATTTTATTTGGATGAGCCTGGCCAGAGGTTTGTCAGTTTGTTTATTCTTTCAAAACCTCAGTTTTTAGGTTTATTGATTTTTTTCTGTTGTTTTTCATCTCTATTTTATTTATTTCCTTTCTGATCTTTATTATTTCTTTCCTTTTGCTGACTTTTTGTTTGTACTTCTTTTTCTAATTCTTTTAGGTGGTAGGTTTGATTGTCTATTTGAGATTTTTCTTGCTTTTTGAGGAAGGGCTGTATTGTTTTGAACTTCCCTCTTAGAACTACTTCTGCTGCATTCCATAGATTTTGTGTAGTTGTGTTTTTGTTGCAGAAAAATGTGTTACAGCTCGGTGTTATAGCTCAGTGTTACAGCTCGGTGTTACAGCTCAGTTGTGACA